CATGATGGAATAACATTTTCTTAACACCAGGTGTTCCAGATCACGGTCAGGGCAAATTGAACATTTCCTGTCTTCGGCTGGGAGTCTGGAAGTGCACTTGGCCTACACCACTGTTTGCTTTCCCCTGGAAATCAAGTGTTGTCAGGCTGTACTGCTCCTTACTGGTCTGTACTTATTATCCTGCTTTTTTATTGTGTTGTGCTGTGACATTATATCATATCACTTATTATCTCTTGTTATATACCCACTGATTTGGAACAGCCAGTAGTGTGTTTTCCCATCTCAGCTCACAAGTATAAACCCTTCAACCGCACATGGGGGAGAAGGAGGAAATGTGAGCAGAGTCCTGTGACCCTTCCACCTTCAAAAGGCTTGTTTTTAACTTGAAGCCCCATGCAAGGGGAAGCGCACAGGAGGACACAGGGGTTTCTGGGAGCCAAGAGAGTCCTGGTCAACTTATGCCAGCCTTTCTCTCATTAGTGTTCAGTCCACCATGCACTGCAGCGCAGTGGCTGGGTTCTGTTCATTTCAAATTGGCTTCAAACAGGTCTTCCCTTAAGATAGACTGCAGTGATTTTTCTGGTTTGAATAAACTGTGCTTCAGAAAATACCTTCCTTGTCATCCATAACTTCCCCGTCTCTGCCCTTATTGATCTCTACCAGCAGAGAAGCCCTCCATGGCTCATTTTCTCAGCGTGTCCAGTGTGGTTAATCAACTAAAGCAGCTTATTAGCTTAAGGGGTTTTGATCAGGCAAGTGGCATTACTGAAAGTTAGCACTGATTTAACAGGCGGGAAGGCACCAGTTCCAGATGAAGGAGCTATGTTCAGCTGTATCTAATACAGTGTAAATTGAAGGAATATGATCAATGACAACTGCATAGCCAAGTTCTTGAAATACCCAAGAGGGGTGTGTTGCAGCTCAAATGGTTCCATAGACATGACAAGATGGAATGGTCCCATATGTATGTTGCCTCTTACCAGACTGTAGTAGTGTACAGTCCAAATCTGATCTGGCACCCCTACCAGACTGTGATACAGTCCAAATTTGATCTGGCCCAACTCTTGAACTACCTAAACTCTGAACAAAGGATTTAACTAGAAGAACCATTCAGAATCCCAAATGTTTCCTTAATGACCAGAGGACAGACATGAAATGTCAGAAGTGAAAGGAGGTCATTCAACAAGTATTGCTCACATGACTGCTCAGGTATTGACTGAATCTCATCTTCCCAATCACCTAAAAGACCCCAAAGAATCTTCTTCAGTAATGTTAGTCTGTTCACATAGAGGACCTGTACAGTAAATGTGCTTGGTCTTACTTTTTTGCGGTGGGGGTAATGGCTTGATTTTTGTATGAGACGCCAAAACTACAGAGATACTGGCTCTGAAAGAGAAACGTAATTAAAACAGACATCCTTCAGCATTTTGTCAGTTTCATGTAATGGGACCAAAGAATATAGCCAGGCTGGAAAACGGAGTCCTTCAAGACCTTTTTTAGGTCATTGTTGCAGTTTTGGCATGACCACAGGCAACCCAGATAGAAACTCAAAGTATTTTGAAATGTACTGCCTGTGGTGAAGTCCAGAGGTGGCTCACAACAAACACGCAGATGGACAAATCCACACAGACTTCCACAGATACCCATATCAACAATGCAATTCCTCAAGGATTAGGTTGACAGTTTAAAGTAGAAATGACTGTCATCTCTTTCTAATACAAGAATGAAATCCATCTGCTGTTAACCATTGTGCTCTCTGTGAGGCACTGGCTGGTAATGCACACTGATCAACAAAATAGCTGTGTTAGAATTATACTGTCGCAAAAAAAATGTTTAAAAAATACACTTCTTTAAATTCAAACTGAAATTCGTTTTTTACAGATTAAGTTAACTCTTGCATTAGGTCAAGCTGATTAGCTGAGTTCCTGTAACATGCTGTCAAATATTTTCCAATCCCACCTATTAGAGAGAAGGGTATTTATTACACTGAATGAATTAATAACATTGCTGTAGATGAAAGTACCAGATCTTTTGCCTTCATAAGTGTAGGAAAGATGACATTAGCCTTCAGATGAGACATTAAACTTTAGACATTGTGATAGAGGTCCTGACTACATGGTCATTAAAGATCTCCTGGCATTGTCATTAAGAGTAGGCGTCTTAACACTAGTGTCTTGGCTAAATTCCTCTTCAGGCTAATTTAACTCAGCCTCCCTTGAGTTCCCCTTTGACGCCACTGATGAAGCAGCTTCTCTCTTCTCCGCCTGACCAGCTGCGTCATGGGACTGCTTCCATACAAATACTAGTTATAGAAATAACTTACCCACGGCAGGCGCATCATACTCCTCTCCCAGGAGGATCTCGGGCGCCGAGTAGGCCAGCGAGCCACAGCTGGTCATCAGCATGGTGCCGGGCTGGAAGTGGTTGCTGAAGCCAAAGTCAGTGAGCTTGACGGTGCCCTGCTGGCGGAAGAAGACCACGTTCTCGGGCTTGAGGTCTCGGTGGACCACGTGGAGCCGGTGGCAGTAGGAGATGGCGCGCACTATCTGGGCAAAGTGGACCTTGGCTTGGGCCTCCGAGACGCCCCCCTCGTGCCGCAGGATGTAGTCGTACATGTCCCCGCCATCCCCCAGCTCCAGGATGAGGTAGAGTTTGGTCTGGGTGTCGATGACCTCATACAGCCGCACCACATTGGGATGCTGCACCAACTTCATGCAACGTACCTCCTGCAAGAGGTGCCCGGCAGCCAAGCTGTCCAGCTTGGTCTTGTCAATGACCTTGACGGCCACCAGCTCACCAGTGAAGACGTGGCGTGCCAGCTTCACCACCGCGAAGTGCCCCTTGCCCAGCGTGCGGTCCAAGTCATACAGCCCGGCTATCTTCCCTTCGTATCCGCTCTTGGCAGACGCCATGCCCACTTGGGTTGTACTTGTGTTCACTGGGGTCTAAAGAAACAATGGCAGTTTCTCAGCGATTGTTTAAAATCCCATTGTCCACACCTGAAAAAACAGAAGGAGTAGCAGTTATGGTTGCTCTGCATTTGTTAGGTGTGACATGGCTGTACAGTTCAACTATATAGTATTTGCTCAGTAATTAAGCAGTGCTGTTGCTGAGAGTCATCAGTTGTTCCCTTTGCAACACTTCTGCACCAAGACAAAAGTTCTGCACCTGCTCTTTCTCACACATGGTGCTGCTTGACATGCTTTCTTGACAAACATGCTTACAGATTTCCAGTACACAACAAAGTGAATAGAAGAAACCAGGAAACTAAGATGCAAGAAATGATGTACATTTTTTATGTAGGGTAGAAAAGGTACATTTAACGTTCAAATGCTCTAAAGACCGACCTGTATTTCTATTTAATTTCGCCAAACAACAATGCATCTTTGCATCTTTGCAAATTTGCATTGGTTAAAAAATATGGCTGCTTGCCATCTACACTTGGAAAAGAGATATTTTTACAATTGCATTTTAACTCCCAGTTATTAGTGCACCTATTGTTTAGACTCTCAAACAGTGCCTTCAAGCAGTCAGATTGTTTCTAACAAATATATTAATATAACAGCTCCTAAGGCTAAGCAGAAAGATGGAAACTGTTTTTCACTCTGATGTCTTGACTTTTTGACAAAAAAGCTCTTCTTGGAGCTTCACGTGCTTGACTGCGCTGCTTAAGAAACTAGTTTCAGAATGCACGCACATTTACAATGCCTGTAATTTTAATATTAGTGGTTGTATCCAGGTCTGGAACTAGAAATAAC